GAGATGCTTATGTTTATGCATGCGTAAATTAATGAATAATCAACTTCCCAAAAAGGACAAAACTGACAATTTCTTTTTTTGTTATATTCAAAAACAAAATTATTTTTCATACAATACTATATCGTACTACATTCAACATTGTCTTACTTATTATTATTTTTTTTTTCAATAAAGAAAATTGCGGCATAATTGCGCTCCATTTTTTAAAACCTGTATTTTCTACAATTGCGCGCGTATTAATGCCTTTTAATTTATTAATTCCTGTGTCTACAGGCGAAATATATATTTCTAGAATGCCATACGTCGACGCAATTGGCAATTACGTGTATATATTCAAGTGTTGCTAATAATTCTAACAAAAAGAAAAATAAAATAAAATATATTTGCGATAGAAGCAAAAAAAAAAAATACAAGTATTTTAGTTTACTCAATTGACATAATAGTTTTTATGTAATAATTACTGTATACTTAAAAATAAAGATAATTGCTTCGAAACACTTTTTTTCTTTTTGCTTCTATTAATTAAATTCCCTAATATTAACTATAATTAAAATCGTTTCTTCTAAATTATTTCATTTTTTCTTATTTCGTCTGAATTATTTTATTTTGTCATTGTTTCATTTCGTCTAAATTATTTTTTATTCGTAGGGAATTTTTTTATTCCTTTTCTTTATTTGAATGGAATTAGTATTTGAATGGAAATAAATATTATTTATTATTTGCATTTTTATTTTACTGCCTAACGTAAGAATTAATTATTAAATATGTCTAATGAAAGAAATATTCTAAAGAAGAAATTTAAGAAAAAAAAATTAAAAGTTGAGAAGAAGAAATTTTAACGTATTTCAAATATTACATAATTCGGCGAAAAATACTTAAAAAATCGCGAGAAAGCGTTTCTCTTTTGCAAAATTTAAAGAGAGAGAAAAAACTGTCATTAGATTTTTGAAGAAAGTTTCCTTCTTTTGAATATACACTCTACAAGTCCGATGTGTTTCGTATTATTGCGTTTTGATGTGTTAATCGACAGGAGGTGTTAAAGTCACAAGAGAGTCAGATAACGGTCAGAGTACAGGTATATTGACACAAATAATTATTACAATTAAAGTTTCCTTCTTTCATAATCGCGAAGGAGAGAAGGCGATGGAAAAAGACAAACGGAGATAAAAAGAGAAAAAGAGAGAAAGCGAGAAAAAGGAACAAAAAGAGAAAGAAAAAGGGGAAAAAATAAAAAAGAGAGAAAAAGAGAAAAAAGAGAAAAAAGAAAGAAAAGGGAAAAAAAAGAAGAAAATTTTAAAAAAGGGAAAAAAGAAAAAAAGAGAGAAAAAGGGGAAAAACAGAAAAAGAGAGAAAAAGGGAAAACAGAGAAAAAAGAAAGAAAAAGAGAAAATGAAAGAAAAAGGGGAAAAGAAAGAGAAAAAGAGAGACAGAAGAGAAAGAAAGAGGGAGACCATTGAAAATTAATCAGTCTCTCCCCCTTTTTCCTTGAATTTCTCCAGAATATACATGAGCCACTTTTTCCACATTACCCTAAGCAAATACTCTTTCATGAAGCGCGAGATTCGAAGCTAACCTCGTGCGCATTTTACTACAGTGTCAATAGCGGGTAAAAAAATTACGTGCACAAATTCACAATTCCTCGGATAAAATGCCTTTTTTGCCTCCATCTGAGAAAATTAAACACATTATCATAACAATAAAATTAAAAACCACACGAAAATTATTTAAACGAATAAATTTTCTTCTACGGAAGAAAATAGTTTTCAAGAAAGGAAATAATAATTCAATAAACGGGAAAAGAAATAAATATTCAAAAGAATTTGAAATAATGTCACATAATCGATTCTGATAACGCCAATAAATGTTCATGACAACAACAATACCAATAATAATAAAAATTATACCAATAATAATCTATATTAATAATAATAATATTAATAATAATAATAATAATAATTATTATTATTATTAATAATAATAATAATTATTATTATTATTTATTAATAATAATAATTTTTATTATTATTATTGCATACCGATAACAAATATCGATAAAAATACTAATAATATTTAATAATATTATTTAATATTATTAAAACAATAAATAATAATAATACTCGGGAGAAAATTAACGAAGAAAATTGTATATGTTTAAATTGCCACCACTTCATACGAGCAAGAAATGAGAGGAAGATTAATTAATCTCTCCGAGACAAATGGATCTTGAGATCGTCAGAGATCATATCGAAACACAACCGCAAAAGGTTACTGACTCACGAGAGCAAATGAGACACAATCTCTCCCTGAGACAAGAATTTTCAAAAATCCAACAAAATTTTTTTTTATCTTTATAATACTAAATATAATTTTCCCCAACTTTTCCACGTTCAAAAGAATAACATTTTTTCTACTTGAATATTTTTCGACAAAAATTATACTATTCAAAGAAAAAGAAAAATAATTACATTCAAAATTACTGCACAAGACAGAATAATAATTACATTAAAAAGAATTAAAAAATTTTAAAAAAAAATTTAAAAAAATTAAAAAGAATAATTAAAAGAAGAAATTTAAATTTATTATTTAAATAATATTTAAAGAAAAATAGTAATTACAATCAAACATGAGAAATTAATTGCTAAAGAAATTAATTGATTAATGAATTAATAGCCTTTTAATACACAAAATAATTTTTTTCGCAACAATAAAAATTAAACGAAGTAGAAAAAATATCGTTCTTCATTGGGTCGCAATTTTAGGAGCGATTAATTATAAACAAATGGAAAACATTTTCATACACTAAATGTAAACAAGTTTTTCTAAAAAAAAACGCTGTAAAATTTTACAAACTAAGCACTCCCTAAAATAATAAATATTCCTTTTAAACTACAAACGTAAAAATTTTGTTTTTTAAAAATAAATTATTTCCTAATTGTTGTATAAAATATTAGGTTTAGTGTGACATATTTAGATAGTGACAATTAATGTAAGTAGTGCAAAAAACATACGTATATGGGCGTAATTAGACGTGTACACTTTTGAGCAAATTAGTCATCAAGATAGCGTCTAATTTCCACAAATATACAACGTCAATGTTTTTAAACAAAAAAAGGAGAATGTAGATTTTTTTAAAGAAAAATTTAGAATAAATTTTATTATTTCGCATTTTTATTAAAATAAATTCGCAATATACTTCAAAAATTTAATTTTACCTCCCTATTAGTATATTAAATCAAAAGTATCTTTTATTATAATAAATCCACAAGATTTGAACGTTCAAATAAACAAAATTTTCATTAAAAATATTTTCTCACAAAATAAACAAAAACGAATTTTGCAAAAAAAGAATTAAAAACCAAAATCTTAACATTTAGAAACTGTAATTTATTTTCTATTTCTATTTTCATATATATTTCTATTTTTCTAATTTTAATTCGAAAAAGAAATAAACAAAATTCTTTCAGAACATTAGAAATAAATTAATAATTATGAAATTGATGATCGACACTTGAAATAAATAAATAAAAAATAACAAAACATGAATGAAAGAAAAAAGCAAAATAAATGACAAGTGAAACAAAATGGAAGAAATAGGGGAAAATAATAATAAAAGAATAAAAAAGAATATAAACAAGAAAAAAAGAATAATAAAAATTACATAAATAGAAATGTGATTAATAAGATCAAAAATATAAAGTTCATTGATCGTTTTTAATATCTAATCTATTTTGGAGAAATAAAAGGAAATTCATTCCTTATTTCTAAAATAAACAAGAAAATTATATATAGAAAATAAGAAAATTTTCTTATATGACATAATATTTATTGTCTTACGATAAGACTATTATTCATCGACAATATTTCATAAAAATATCTAAATAGTTAAACTATAAATTTTCCTAATTACAAAGTTATTTACTAATGAGCCTGTGAATTTTTCAAATAATAAAGTTGAAGAGAAAATATCAAAAATCATTTTCCAAATTATAATAAACGAAATGAGAGAAGAAATTACTTTAAAATTAGTTTTAATATACATCTGATAACCTTGAATAATTTACTTTTGACGTGATTGTATAATTGAATTCCTAATTATAGTCAACTTTTTCCAAAAGTCCCTTTTAAAAACCTAACGACAAAAAAAATCAATTAATGAAATATAATTCTCTTTCAATCAATTTTTTTTTTTGTTTCAAAATCAATTGTATAGAAATTCTATTCTATTATTCAATTAATTTCTAATTTAAAATCAATTATTGAAATTCCATTCTATTAATTTCTATTTTTTATTTTTAATTTCTACAAATTTCTATTGAATTGAAAATCAATTATTTAAATTCTATTCTATTCCAATTTTCCGTATAATTTCTATTTTTTTATTATTAATTTCTATTAATTTTAATTGAATTGAAAATCAATTATTTAAATTCTATTCTATTTTTCGATTAATTATTAATTTTTATTAATTTCCATTCGATTGAAAATCAATTCTATTATTCGATTAATTAATAATTTTTAATAAAGGTTTTTCGAAAAATGCGAAAGATCGGAAATCTTATCAGAATTTGATAAAATAAAGTAACCGAAAATAGAAAGTACCTGCTTATCAAAATTTTCGAAAATATTTACTGCGGAGGTCAATGGTAACTGCACGTTATTGTATTCGGAAAATTGTAAACAAAACTGATTTCTTAATTAAAAACTAACCTTCTCTGAATGATATAACCTTTTGTGGTTCTCTAAATTCTTATATAAAAATAGTTCAAGTACATAAATACCGATTTCGCAAACAGTGAAACTCTTTCAATTAATTCCTTCAGTGAAATTGTTAACGAAAATTCCACTTTTTGAATTTAATTTCTCATTTCAATTTTGCATTTGAATTTTTAATTTCAATTTTAAAGAGTAGGAATTTTCTTTTGGTTCAACGAAGAAATGTAAATGAAATAGAAGAAAAGAATTAAAAGTTAAGAATATTTTTCGACAGAAAAAAAACTCACCATGGGACTTTCGGACGTATGCCCATGATGCGGAATTGGCATGTTGGATATAGCAACACCACCGCCGGTATTCCCAATGTCCTGATATTCATCCGATATCTCCATCGCGTAGGATGGCAACGGTTCTCTGTTCTTCACCCGAATTTTGGCTGCTTTGATCCGCGGTTCGCGGTCTCAACACAAGATTAAGGCCCAAACACGGCCAAAGTTCAACAGAGAAGAAAAAGTGAGGTTAGGTTGTCACAAAGGACGACCGAATTAAACGCTTCTCTCACACGTTATATTAAATCACGCAAATCGTTTTCAATTCTTCACAAACACTCTAATTGTCGTTGATCATTCAATTTGTCCATTACATCACCACCAAAAAAATTTACTTTTCAACAACAAAAAAAGAATTCACAATCACACACGAACTATTTTTTTTTTTTCCTCTTTTAACACAAATAAAAACACTGTCAGAAAAAAAAACCCGGCTATTAAACGAAAAGTCCTGGCGAAAACACTTCAAATTGTCTTTCTCTATCTCTCTTGTTTATTATAAACGAATTCGTATTATAAATGTTCGAATTTCGGAAGCACTAAAAAGCGAAGAACACGAGTTTTTTTTTCTAAATGAATGTTTATTATTGGACGGACAAACGGGGGGGAAAAAAAGCCGGCAAGATTTTGTAAAAATTCTGGACACACAAAGAGGAGTTTTTTGTGGGACACGCGGACGTTCGCGTCCTGTTGCGATCTGAAGCTGGGCAAACTAATACCGAGACGAATCCCCCACTCCGATGATCCCCGCTACTTTAGTAGAACCAATTGGTGGGCGGGGGTTTTCCAACGTAACCCCGTAGTTCTTTACTGGAGGCGGGTCACATCGATAACGCCCAATGCCGGCTACAGTGCTCTGATGTTACTACCCTATCGGATAACGACCCCAAGGAACAACCTCGCACCAGGAATATAATATAATATACCGAAAAAGAAAATTATAACCTGATTTATTTTCTCCTTCAAGCCCTTTAAGTTTCCACATTTTCCATTTAGAAAATTAGGGAAGCGGTGTGCACCCACCTTTAGCAATTTCAGTGGCGGGAATTTTGAATACAAAAAATTGAATTAATTTAAAGGAGCGAATTTTTATTTATTTTATTTATTTCTTCTTCAAATTTTGGGTTTATCATAAAAAAATAAATAATAATTAATTATTTTCTAAAGTGTTTAATTTAGTTTCTTTAATTTTTATCGCAATCAGTAATTTATATGGAAATTTTATTAATAAAGTGTTCGAATAAACGAAAAAGATAAAACATAAAATAATTCCTAACTTTCGATTTAGAAGAAAGTAAAAAATTAAAATAATTCGAATTTTTTAATACGAAAAATCGGAAAACTAAAATAATTCTTATTTTCGAATGTGAAAAAATTAAAATTCGACTAAATCTGATTTTCGAATATCAAAAAGTTAGAATTAATTATATTCGAATTTTCGAGTACGAAAAAATTAAATAATTCGAATTTTCGAATATAAAAATTTTAATAATTAAAATATTTCGTATTTTTGAGAACAAAAAAGTTATTAATTAAAATAATTTGGATTTTTTATTACGAAAAAGTAAAAAATCAAAATAATTCATATTTTCGAATATAAAAAAGTTATAAATTTAAAATAATTCGGATTTTTGAATACCTATACGAAAAAATTAAAAATAAAATAATTCGTATTTTTGAATTCGACAAGTTTCAACATAAAATATAATTCATATGTTTATTTTTGAATACGGAAAAGTTAAAAGAAAAATAATTCCATTTTCAAATTAGATAAAGATAAAATTAAATTCGAATTTTTGAATACGAAAAAGCTAAAAAATAAAATAATTCTTATTTTCGAATGTGAAAAAGTTAAAATTCGAATAAATCCGATTTTCGAATATCAAAAAATTAGAATTAATATTATTTAAATTTTTGAGTACAAAAAAATTAAATAATTTAAATTTTAAATTTTAAATTAATTTTTGAATAAAAAAATTTTTTAAAAGAAAATAATTCGTAATTTTTTGCATAAAAAAGTTAAAATTGAAATAATTCGGATTTTTTAATACGAAAAAGTGCAAAATTAATATAATTTGAATTTTCGAATAAGAAAAAAAGTTATAATTGAAATAATTCGTATTTTCGAGTACGAAAAATTAAAAAATTGAACTAATTCCGATTTTTAGAATCCAAAAAGTAAAAAATTAAATTAATTCGTATTTTCGAGTACAAAAAATTTAAATGTTAAAGTAATTCGCATTTTCGAATTCAAAAAACTTATAATTGAACGAATTCGGATTTTCGAGTACGAAAAAGTTTAAAATTAACATGCTTCGTAATTTCGAAATTGAAAAACTTAAAATTGAATAAACTTAAAATTTTGAATATACGAAAAAGTTAAAATCTTAAATAGTTGTAACTTTTTTCCATATATTCTTATTAGAAGAAATTTGAGAAAAAAACCAAAAATTCGCTTTCAGCAATTCGTGGAAAATTCGTAAGAGACCAAAAATCCTGAGTGGAACTAAATTTCGAAAAATGATCAACAACATTTTGAATATAGACAATTTTCCGCACGAGTGAAAATTCCAACTTCCTCTACACCGCACACTTTCGTCGACACCTAATTTTTATCCATATTTTTCAAATTTCCTCAAGCGTGAAACATAATATTTGTGTATATGAATTTTCACCGTCTGGGCTTTAATTTTTCCCCGACAAGTGGTAAAAGCGCGCATACTTTTGATATAATTTTTCCTACCCTTCATTACTCTAAATGGTGCAGTTCGCCAAGTTCTTGGCTTCCCGTAAAAGCTCCTCGTTTAGTAGCGCGCGGCTTAAGAGCGAAACAATATTGGCACTCGTGCAAAACTCTCAAAAATAAAAATAAAAAACAAAAAAAAGAAAACGAAGTAGAAGAAGATGAAGAAGAAGAAGAGGAGTGCACAGTGTGTTAGAGAATCGATATATAGATACTCGCGGTCGATTATCCAAGAAAATTGTTCCCACGAATAACGAGCAGGTAAAGATACTTATGTTAGAGGCGTCCGCGTCATAAACAAGTAGGCTTAAGTATCTAAGTATCGCCAAGTAGATATAGAAAAGATACAAAGTGCACAGTAGTTGTTAAAGAGAGAACTTCAGGAAAAAAAAGGTGAATATAGACTGCGATGGAGACAATATTATAGACACTCAATTTTCACTCTCATCACTGCGCGATTGAAAATCTAAACAGAAAAAATCAATGCTTTTATTATAACAAATAAATAGAAAATTTTTCGTCTTCGAGATAAAATTAATTTTAAAAATAGAAGAATATAAATACAAAAAAAGGAAGTGTTTCGAGGATTAGAAATGGAATTTATCCTTTTCTAGTGACGCGTCACAATTGTTTGACAAAAGACGACAATAATAAACAAACCATTCGACAAAAAAATTCTCTAAATCAAAATTAGTTAAAAATAGTTTTTTTTACTAATTGTTTAGTAAAATGTAGGATGATCCGGGTTATTTAAAAAATTTTAACTCCAATTTTTCAAAAACCTAATTTTTTCAGAATTTGAAATTTAAATTATTCAAAACTTCAATAACTTTAATTAAATAAATATTCAAATACTTGGGTGTTGTTATTTGTTTCTCAAACAGGAATTAAAATTTTGAATAATTTCAATTCTAAAAATTACAACTGCAATTCTTTCAAAATTCAATTATTTTTTAGAATTTTTCCCTATTAAGTATATCGCTTGTAATATTTAATTATTTTCTAAAATTATAACTGAATTTCTTTTTTAAATCAATTCTTATCAGAAAATTTTACGAGAATTCAATTATTTACTTAAAAAAATAAATAACTTTTGAAATAATTGATTATTTCTAAAAATTGCAATTCTATCTCTAGTCATGATGTTTTAAAAATTTTTAAAGTGAGAATGAAATAATTTTTCAGTAATAAATATTTATGAAAATTTTGTTAAGAATTGAATTTTTTAATGAAATTTTATTGAAATTTAAAAATAATTTAATTTTTTTGAAGGAAATTTTAATTTTTATTTAATTAAAATGATATTAAAATTAATTGAATATGAAGAATTGAATTAAAAATTTTGAAAATAATTGAATTCTTTCAGGAAATTTAATATTACAAATATTTTGAGAATAATTAAATTTTAGTAAACAAAATTTGCTAAAAGTACTTTATTATTTATAAAAGTAAAAATATAAAAATAAATAAAAAAATTAATTCAATTTGTAAAAATAGAAATTTAATTGTGTCGAAGAAGATTTAAATTCTTTTGAGGAATTTAATTAAAATTGTACTAGAAATAATCTTGAATTTTTCTAAAGAATTTATCAAAATTTTAGAAAATAATAAAAATTCTTTCGTATAATATTATTGAAAATTGTTAAAAAAAAAATAATTGAATTCATTCCAGAAATTTTATTAAAATCGAATTCAAAATAATTGAATTTTTCCGAAGAATATTATTGTATTTACAAAAATAATTAAATTCTTGAGAAGAATTTTATTATTTACGAAAATCATTGAAATTCTCCGAAGAATTTTATTATTTAAGAAAATAATTGAAAACTTTAAAAGAATTTTATTTTTTATGTAAATAATTGAATTCTTATAAAGAATTGTATTAAAATTTTTGAAAATAATTTAATTTTTTTCGAAGAATTTTTTAAACAAATTTGATAAAATATTTGAATTCTTTTGAGGAATTTCATTTAAATTGAATTAAAAATAATTACTTCCTCCGAAGAATATTATTATTTACGAAAATAATAGAATTATTTTGAAGAAAATTTTAATTCTAATTAAAATAATTACTTCCTCCGAAGAATATTATTTACGAAAATAATAAAATTATTTCGAAGGAAATTTTAATTCTTATTTAGTTACAATTTTATTTAAATTAATTAAATTTTTTATAAAGAATTTTGTGTTCAAATTTTTGAAAATAATTTAATTCTTTCAAAGAATTTTATAAAAATTTAGCAACAAAATTTTAATATATTAATGAAACAAAAAAATAATTGGTATAATTAATTAATTAATTTTTAATTGGTAATTCGTGAATTTAAGATTATTTTGAAGAAAGCAAATATTATTTTTTCAATTTCAACTATTAGAGGGTTTAAAATATGTGTAAATTCTCAAAGAGAAAAAAGTAACTTTTAGTGTCACCAAATCTAAAAAAAAGCGTCCAAATCGTAGCAAATCGTAAGAAAATTAGTAAATAGTAGAAGATTTCTAGAAGATTCTCAAAAAGAAAACATTTTTTTTCGGAAAGAAAACAGTTTTTCAAAAACAAAATATTTTTTTTCAAACAAAAAAAAAAGAATTCGCAGCGTTCGTTTAAAATCTACTCCGATATGATTTAAATTGTTAACACCTATATCCAGCAAACTATATAATATATATAAATTTTAGCACTCCTCGTATTCCATCCTCTTATTTCTTAAAGAGCAGTTAACACCCCAACGGCTGTTTGATCCCGTGGTAAACAAGGACTATCTCTAACCGTTTGAAGATAGTACATATAACCTCCCTCTTATTCATCATTTTCTCGTTTTGCGTTATATATTCTGCAAAGCCTGGTGTTTTCCTTTCAGAAATTTTATTACACACTCATCGCTACATACTCTAGATTCTATAGAATGCGTGGAACCTCCTCTCTCTCACTCCGAAACCTTCGATTT